GTTCAATAATCTGAATCTCACTTATGTTTTGATAAACTCTGATGCCGATTGGGTGAGAAAACTTGATGACAGATTTCTCCGAAGTAGTGGAAAGTTGGTATCAGTTGATGTTCGCCAGTTTGTCTCAGCCGCTCAGACTCATTGGCATGCAGAATTACTTGCTGTTGGCAAGAAGGTGTTGGAAACTCTTGAAGCCCTCTATAATTTCTCAACCAGGAACTTGTCTGTGTTTTGTCAAAGCATGTGTCTCATTCATATATTTGAGGTTACAAAGTTTCTCCTAGAGTCCAAGTTTCTTGGTCTCAAGTACCATGATACTAGGACATTGCAGACTTTTCTTGAAATATCTACTGAGTACTTCCAAAAAGTGTTTCCTTTGGACTGGAGAAAATCATTGGCAGAAAATATGATATCTCTGAGGGGAACTGAGCTTTCACGGAAGTTGCTTGAAGAAGCTGCTCGTGGGAGCCTACCCACTGAAACAAAAGTTAGTGGGATCCTCGAGGAACTGACATATGGACAAATAGGGAGGGTGGTAATGGTGTGGCTTGGATCTAAAAAGCCAGCTGATGAACTATGTGAGGAGATTGTGAAAAGGTTTGACGGGAATTCATCATGGAGGATATTCATTGAGAATCTCCGAGGGAACAAAGATGCTGATTCTTCACTGGGGTCACCTTACAGCAGTTCTGATGAGGGTCTAAGCAAGGTTTCTTTGGTTCGCCAATTCCATAAAGCTATGGAAGATACTTTTAATGCTAATTGGAGGAAAGAAATTGACTATATATCACCTAATTGTTTCTTGTATCTTGTTGAGCGCCTTCTGATCTCAGTATCTTGCTTGCGGGGATACTTTCTCACAACAAAGTCTTCATTTATTGAGTGGCTTTTTTATCAGCAGCAAAATGCTAACCCCAGTGCCAATTCAGTAACTGATATGCAATTCTCTCTGGGCGGCATATGTGACTTTGTGGCCCACATACTCCAGCAATTTCTTTGTAATAAGGAGGAAACGGCCGATTGGATTAAAAATTCGAACATTAATTTTGATTACTACTATCCACTGCTGGTGCTGAGACTTGTTGTTTCATTGTGTTTGCTTTGTGCGAATTCTGGGAAGTATCTTGAATTGCTTTCTGTTTTGCTGGGGAGGAATGATATTACTTCAATGCTACCAAGGGAATTCTTTACTGTCCTTATGAGAATGAGAAAACGTAAATACATAGAAATAAATAAGTGTCTGCTTGCAGAAGCATTTAAAAAGATAGAGGACCCTCTTGTGATAGTGAACTTGGGACATGATTGTCCACAGTTACCTTCCCCTGATGCCATTTACGTGGACATGAGAGGTATGCAATGCAAAGAGGATATCATGGGAGTGTTGTTTCCCTGTAATACCGAAGCTCCCCAAGGTAAAAAGGTTGCTGTTGAAGAGAATCCAACTAATTCAAGGGGCAAAAAATCCTGTGTGAACTGTGATAATCAGGGGAAGAGTTTTACTGTACAATCTCGTGATTTCACTTCCGCGGAAGATCGGAGCACAAACACTGAGAATGGAAACGAATGCAACCTGCAAACGGATTGGGGGCTTTTTTGGGAAATTTCTGATGTTCTAAAGTCTGTGGATGATAAAAGAAAGGGAGTATTGATGAAATGTATGTTCCCAAAGATGAAGGTAACACCAATTTGGCTGTCACATTATGTCGTAATGTATGATGCCATTGTCAAGTATGCGGATAGATTAGTATCATAACTTTAGTGTTTTGAATTTTTTCTGTATATATTCAGGTGGAGGTAGAGAAAAATATCGACATCTTCACTGCTGCAATGAGCCGATCTAAGAGAGAACCTTGTGATGAAAATGGAGTTGTCTTTGGTGAAGTAAATAGCATGCTTGATGAACTGAGGCAGCTTTCTTCTGCTTTGGATATGAGGTTTGTTTTAATATTTAGCTTGAATAATTGTTAGAGCCTTGCATTTGCATAGACATACATACTCGAATCCCCCCTGTATGTTTTCCTTTTAAATTAACATTAGGTATTTGCCCTAATTTGATGTATATTAGGTAGGATGTTCCATTGGTCATTCTCAATTCATTGATGAGTTGCTGAAGCTTCCTAATCTATTTTATGATATGCTGAAATCTGATTTGTTGTTTAATTTGTTTTTCAGTGACCAAGACCTAAAAAATCACAATTCAAAAGTTTTAGAACTTTTGAATAAGTTGCAGTTAAGGCGACAGTTGCTGGAGAGTTTCTTGAATCAGCTACTTGCTGATGAAGACATAAATGCTGTGAGCGAGGCACCAGAGACGAGCATCGTATCTGAAGCTTCATATGACAACAAGGCTGAGGATGAGGGAACTAGCAACTGTAATGAAGACAATATGAAGGCTTCGGAGGCTACAGGTTCTCTGAAGCACAAAGCAATGGCAATCCTTGCGATGCTGACAGGAACAAGGGGAAGGGAAACAGCAAGTCCAGGAAAGGCAGGAAATGAATAACCATGCACTGTCAAAATCTCAAGTTGGTACAGTACATACACTGGTTGATTATCAATAGGTAATTGAAAGGGAATAGCAAATACTGCAACTCTAGGACGGCAATGATTGTTGTATGGTATTTTTGAATCAATGCAAAAGCTGCTGCCATATATATTATTTGTTATGAGTATAAATTGGAGCATCATTAGGGAATGAGCCTTGTTTGGATTCTAGTGGTGTTATTATTGATTCCATCTTCTATTCTTAGGAAACAAAAATTAGTTTTACTTAATTGATATTTTCATGCTAAATTAAATATTTCATTCATTTTGAAAGATTACTGGCAATATCTGTTGTGATACAAATTTGGTTATTATGTGGTAAAGTCTTGTCAATCTGTGATTAATCTTGTACAAATTTAAATTTCCTATAACATGGAAAGTCAAAATCGGATTTCATCATAAATGGATGAAAAACCAGTTTTGTTCAAATTCTACTTTGTCAGAGTAGCTGCATCCACTAATTTTACAACATTTCATTGAAGATGATCACCTCAATATTTTTCAGTTTTAGTGCATCATTATTATTCTTTTCTTTTATCTTCTTCAAATAATGATGAGAATATCACAATTTCAACATCTTTGAGAACATTAGAACCATCTCAATTTGAATTTTCACATCACCACACACAGACTCTTCTACAATGCACAAGTTCATGAGTGTCTCAATTGAATGATCTTTACTAAATTTAATACCATATATCAATAACTGGTAGCAACTCTTTTCATTTTGGGATTAATCTGTGTACAGACAAAGGATCAAAATGCAATATAATATGGAAATTTGAAATCAAATCTCATCATCATAGATTATGAGATATTTACACACCATATTTTGTTTAAATCTGTTCAATTATAGACTTTTCTGTTATTCACAACATGAGAATTCACCAGATCTAAGCGCATGAAAAGCTCAAGCAAGAAAAATGTGTAGCAGATCACTAAGCTAAAAGATCATCTCACATCTTTTCAATCAAGTCCTCTTTCCACTATGCAAAAGAACTCCCAACTTGCTTTCTTCTGGCCTAAGATATATGAAGTTCAAGGCAGCACAAGCATGAAGTCAAACGCTCCTCCTAAGCAGCCTCAAATTTCTAGCTTTTCTGGCTGCCGCCAGCTCTCAAGATGGTCCTCTCTCTCTCTCTCTCTCTCTCTCTCTGTTTATGCACAAGAAAGCTGCGTTTGTGGCATTATTCGTGCATGCATGTGTGCCCAAATTTCTGAAGCTACTCAACTCAATTTATTGACTGTGTGAAACATAGGCACCACCAGCCCCTTGGGAGAAGTTGAGCCAAAATTTTGCTGTTCAAGTTGGCTCGATCACATTTGGATCCACTCAAGCCAAGTACTATGATGCATTAGCTCTAAAAACATCCTAAATTTATTTCTAAGCATTTCAAGTGGCAAGAGGAGCAAAACAATAAAAGTGAGTGTTTATGACAGATAAATCAAAGAAGGTGTAGAACAGTGGTCAGTGAGGTTGAATGAATTGCTATTGCTTCTAACTAAGAACAAAAAAATAATATAAAATAAATCAAAAATTGAGGACAAACATTAAGTGGGCTTCACTAGATAGTAGCTTATTTTCTGTTTACCAACTCTATGAAGTTTTGGTATATGAACATAGAAAGTAAATCGAAATCATATTGTCTGTTCCTTCAGTATTTTCTCATGAAAAGCTTTGATTCAAGTGTTTCTAGATAAAGATCAATGATTTCCAATTTTCATATATAAGAACTATCTTTAAAGCAAATTAACAATAGATCAAGTCATAATTGTGTGTACTAACAGACAATTTACATTAAAAAAAAAAAATTAATAAAAATAAAAAAATCAGATTCAAGCATATTGTAAACAGGGGCAGCACCTTTGGGGCAATAATAGGGATAAGAAAGTAGTAGAATAAAACAATAACTAACACCAATGAGAGGATTAAGAAATGAACAAAGACTGTTTTTCCTGATCTTTTGGGGCAATTTAGAGGACTTGCCTCTCTTCTAGTCACTTATTTATGCCACAACTCAATTCTCTACCTAGGCCCTTTCTCACTGGTGACCTTGTCATAGTCAAAGTGGTTTCCTACATTACTTAGAACCTAATATGAACTGTCTTTGATAATCATTAAAGTTCTCTCAGAAAATTTGCTAAAGCATTAATTCAAGTTTTTCTAGATAAACAGATTGGCTAGAGACCATCATTTCAAATTTTCATATATAACAACTATCTTTAAATCGAATTAATCATAATTGTGAATAGGAGCACAGAATTTCCATATGCAAAATTTAGTGAAACTCCACTTTCAAAGAAAAGTGGATTCAAACATACAGTGGACATGAAAGAGAAGACATAAAAAATAAATATACTCACATATCAATTAAGGTTCTTTTGGTAATGCAAATTCTCCAATTTGATATAAAATTTCACAACATTCTGAATCAGAATTACAGAACAAAACTAGATTATCATCAAATTCACTAGAACTGTAAGTGTTCCATTTATTAATTCAAGTAACTATCCTCATTGAAGCATCAACCACGATTTAACATCACTGCTCATATTGAAAAAAAAACAAAAATTACCTAGTTGCCGCTAGCAAAATTCAACATTCCTTGGCGTATCCAATTTGATTGCTTATATCGGAGAAAAAAATCCCATCTCTCCACCATTATTATCAGCTCAACTCAATTCAATTCTCCTCATTGCTACCAAATAGCTTCATCCTAGACAATGGAGACCTCAAGTACCCCTCCACCTCAAACTTCTTGGGCGAAAGCTCCCGGTATTTCGCAAACTGCTCTCTTGCCTCCTTGTTCCTATCAAGCAAACTATATATCATCCCCTGACAAAAGTAAGGCCGAAAATCATTCGGGTCTTCCTTCGAAAGCTCCTGGTAGCTCCTCAAAGCCTCATCCACATTCTTCTGCAAGAACTGTATCTGTGCCATTATCAACCTCACGTCGCGTGCTTCCTTTACTTTGTTCCCATCCTCTGCAATCCTAAGAGCTTCTTCCAACCGTCCGATCACTGCTCCACCTTCTCCGCATCGGTCCATTAACAGTGCATTCTCGAACAATGCTTCGAATGAGAGCGGAGTGAGCTTCAAAATCTCTTCGAATACGTTTCGGGCTTCTTGGGTCTCACCCATTTCGTTCAATAACCTGGCTTTCAGAAATTTCCATTCGGTTTGATCCGGTTGAGCCGAAACCAGCTTCTCCAGTGTTTTCAATGCTTCTTCGTCCTCACCCGCTTCAAGCTTTTCTTGTAACAGCGACTTCAAAGCGTCTATGACTTTCGAATTGGAATCGAGAAATTCCGACAACGGCGAAGACGAATCTTGGGGTTTTTCTTCTAATTGTGTTTCTTCGACTTCATTAGCAGTGAGCTCCTCGGTTAATGTGGGCGGAGATTCCGCTCTTGAAGGCAATTGGTGGAACTTTCCGACCACCGCCGCCGTGGTAACGGCGGTGAAAACAATGGCCTTGGCTGTGGTTTTGAGGTTTTGGAGAAATGGATTGTGGGAAGAATCATTGGAGGTGGACTTTGAAGAAGCCCTGATTGTGACACAGGGTTTTGGGACCGAGAATCGAAGGGTTGAAGGTGGTTTTAGGGTTGATCTGAGAGGATTGAGTACTGAAGGAGTCCTGATGTGAGAGAAACTAGAGAGAGATGATGATGATGATGAGATTGCTAGAGTTAGGTCCATGGTGTGGGTGATTTGGGGTCTTGGATGGAGATCTTGAAGGGAAGGGAATGGAAGGGAAGAGAAGAGAAGGGGTTTGGACTTTTGGCGGAGTGGTGTTGTTTTAGGTGAAGAATGGGGACGTCAGGGTTTTGTTTGGACTTTTTTGGGTTGTTGGGAGGAGAAAATGGGAGATGGAATAGCCTGCCAAAGGTAGTTGTGGTTTTTTGTTTGTCCAAATGACCTAAAAGTCACCTTTGATTTTCTCTCTCTTGTTTTTTGAAACCACTCTATGGGTCCATCTACTCAGAGTCTCACACCTTGGAAAAAAAGGTCATGGTGTGTATGGATGGATCTTGGAATAAGCAGCTATATCTTCTCTGTCGTTGTCTGTTTTGCTTTGGTTGGGTCCATACCCACACATATACTCTAATTTTGAAGTGGAAACTTGGTTCTTGTTTAAATGAGCCAACTATGACTAATTTAAATAACTACAGTATTTTAATTTAATTAAATAAAAATTTGAAAAAAAAAAAAAAAAAAAAAAAAAAAAAAAAAAATTCATAAATTTGATTAGTTAGAAACCTATAATAAGATGAAAAAAAAAAAAAAAAAAAAAAAGAGTAGTAGAAAATCAAATAACAAAAGTTTATTTAGGTAATATACTCATAATTTGAAACTTGAATCGAACTCACACATGTCCAATTAAGATATGTGACACATCGAGACGAATTTAAATTTTTTTTTTTCTTGAATTAGACAAATTTAATTAGAATCAACAAAAGACAGATTGTGGCTAGATTGGAGAAGATGTTGATTTATTTTGCTATAAGGAACACCCGTTGTGGTGGCAAACTTGGATTCAATGATACAACTTAGAATAAACAAAATTTGAAAACTTGGGAATGTTTTAGATAGGGAGATAGACAGCGGATATGACTAAACAAAATTTGAAAGCTAGGAGCAACTCCAACTACCCAAAATTTAGAGATTCTGGGCCTCTTTTAGCGGTTGGACTGCTCCAATAAAATCTCCAAAAAATAGGCCCCATGTTTTGGGTCGCGGAATAGGTCATTTGTTAGCGATTGCAGGCTTCTGACCTGCGGGCCCGACCAGTTTTTGGCTTTTTAACTTTTGTGGTCCAGCAACACTAAAGCCCATAATACATTTAAGGGCGTGTTTGGCAATGAAAAAAATTCTAAAAATCAATTTTTTTGCATTTTTTGGCCTTTTTTTTTTCCTCAACATAATTGAACTAAAGAGCCGTTAAGGCACTATTTGGCTGACACAAACAGTGCCTTAAAGGCTTTTTTAGGCCAAAAAAAGTTTTAAAAAATTAAAAAGGAGTGAATTTTTTTCCTTTTCAAAAATTTTAATGTTCCTATTGACATTATAGCCGTTTTAGGTACTGTTTGGCTGACCCAAACAGTTCCTTAACTACTGTATTGGCTAACCAAACATTTTTTCCCCCTAACAAATAGAAAAAAATAATTTATTAAAAATTTAAAAAAATAATATTTTTGGAGAGCAAAAATGCACCATTAGAGTACATGCGATGGCTAAAATTTGGAGACTCTAAAACGCTGACGTGGCTATTGATGGTGATGTGACAAATTCGAAGAGTCTAATTTTAAAGAGTCCATTGGAGATACTCTAAGGGAGTGTTAGAATGTAGATGGATAGTGGGCGTGACGATGATCACCATAAGCACAATTTTTCAGTTGGAATTGAGTCTAGATAGATGGAAATTATTGTATAAGTGAAGTTTACCCTAGTTTAAATATGAAAAATGATACTTAGGTGAAAGACAGCCAAAAATTTTACAGTCACATGATACAAAATGGGTCATATCATATGTATCTTGTAGATGCAAATGCATTACTACTCACACCAATGTAGCCACAATCTCAAAGATAAAAGTAAAAATATCCAACAAGATGGCAATGTCACAAAATTTCAACTTTGTTGTAAATCTAAAAGAAAATATATAACATAAAGTTATATCTTCAATATAAAGAGAAGAATGTAGAGAGAGGGAGAAAGATCTTATTATATTCTCTTAAATCCAAGTACATCGATATAATAATGAACAATTCGTATTTATAACCAAACTTTAGTCAACATCCTTAATGTACCATTAACCAAGTGCATTTACCTCTTATTTATTACACTGCATTTAACTCTTATTTATTGCACCATTAATTCAACACTATACAATTAGTGGACATCATATATAACACTTTCCCTTGGGGTCCACCACACAACACTAAGAATATGCCTCGTTAAAACCTTACTAAGAAAAACCCAATGGGATAAAAACTTAACGAAAGGAAAAAAAAAGTACAATATTCTTGTGTATATAAAAATGGTATTGTATAGGTTAAAACTGCCTCATTAAAACCTTGTCTAGAAACCCAGTGGGACAAAACTTGAGCGAAGGAAAAAGAGTACAGTATGCCAATATCTTTTCAATTTAGTGCTCCCCTTTATTGCTGCATTAATTCAACACTAAAGATCCTTAAGTTGACGCATTCCAATATTGTGTACCAACCTTTTGAACGTCGTAGTTAGTGATGCTTTAGTGAACATGTCTGCTAAATTTTCATTTGAACATATCTGCTGAATATCAATATCACCATTCTTCTGACATTCATATGCATAAAAGAATTTTGGTGAGATGTGTTTGGTCCTATCACTTTTGATATAACCATCTTTCATCTGTGCAATGCATGCAGCATTATCTTCATATAATACTGTTGGGTTATCTTTTATGGATGAGAGACCACATGTCGTTTGAATATGCTAGATCATAGATCTCAACCAAATGCATTCTTTACTTACCTTATGAATTGCAAGTATCTCTGAATGATTTAAAGAAGTTGCAATCATTGTCTGTTTTATAGATCGCCATGATATAGCAGTGCCACCACAAGTAAACACATATCATATTTATGAATAAGTTTTGTGTGGATCAGAGAAATAGCCAGTATCTGCATATCCAATTAACTGGGAGTTTGATTCTTTTGAATAAAATAATCCCATATCAATTGTACTACGAAGATATCGTAATATATGCTTGATTCCATTCCAATGTCTACGAGTTGGTGCAGAACTGTATCTTGCTAATAAATTGACTGAAAATGCTATGTCCGGCCATGTGCAATTTGCAAGATACATAAGAGCACCAATTGCACTGAGATATGGCACTTCAAGACCAAGGAGTGCTTCATCATCCTCTCGAGGACGAAAAGGATCTCTCTTGATGTCAAGTGATCGGACAACCATTGGAGAGCTCAATGGGTGCGCTTTATCCATATAGAATCGCTTCAAAATCTTTTTTGTATATGTTGACTGGTGGACGAGGATTCCACTTGATAAATGTTCAATCTGTAGACCAAGAGAAAATTTTATTTTTCTGAGATCTTTCATCTCAAATTCTTTCTTTAAATAAGTGGTTGTCTTTTCGATGTCATCCAATGTTCCCACAATATTCAGATCATCAACATATACTGCAATAATAGTAAAACCATATATTGACTTGTTAATAAAAATGTATGGACAAATATGATTATTCACATACCATTCTTTTATCAAGTACTCGCTAAGACGATTGTACCATATGCGCCTAGATTGTTTCAATCCATATAAGGATCGTTGTAATTTGATCAAGTATATATTACGTGGTTTTGTTTCAGGTATTTGAAATCTATCTAGGATTTTCATATAAATATCACTATCTAGTGATCCATATAGATATGCCATTACCATGTCCATTAGATGCATATGCAATCTTTCTGTGACTGCTAAATGTATTATGAATCGAAATGTAGTTGTATCTATCACAGGAGAGTATGTTTCATTATAATTAATACCAGGTCTCTTTGAAAAACCTTGAGCTACCTATCGGGCTTTATATCTTATAATTTCATTTTTCTCATTACATTTTCGTACAAATACCCATTTGTACTCAACAGGCTTTACACCTTTAGGTGTTTGGACTATAGGTCCAAATACTTCACGTTTAGCTAATGAATTTAGCTCTGTCTGTATTGCTTCTTTCCATTTTGGCCAATCATTTCTAAGTCGACTTTCTTCGACATTTTCATTTTTAGGTTCTAGATCCTCATTGTTTATATGAAGAGCAATTGTATATGAGAATATGTATTCCCTGACAACTTCATTTCTATTCTATCTCTTCGTATAATTTATTGAGATCTCACTAATTTTTAGGTACCTTTGCAATATTATCATAGTTAGCTAACTTGACCTTGTCAAGTCCCTTTGCCACATCAAGAGCATATGTTTTATTAACGACAACTTTATCATTGTTAGCTAATTGGGTCTCTTCAAGAGTACCATTTTCATCATTCATCATACTCTTTGACATTTGCCTCATTGTATCACTTTTAGCTAACTGGGTCTCTATAAGAACACCCATTTCATCATACTCTTTTGCATGTACCATATTAAGTGCCTCTGCCTCATCAAGGGCTACTTTAGCATTGTTAGCTAACTAGTATTTTTCATTTTCGTAGAACAAAATATTTTGCACCGACTGGTATGTCACTCATACTTTTGATGCATTTGCAATACTGGCAATATATCCCATCAGAATTTTAATTCTTCCTAACATTTTATCAACTGGCACACATAATGATATTTCTCTATTTCAGTGAGCAAATATATAATTTCAAAAGTATTCCAAGTAATATTATTTGGCATTTCTGATCTTACCCTTTCTCCCCCTCAAGATGGGAAAATAATCTTATTTAAATGATAATCAACACATCGTGCAATAAAGGCAACTTATGTTTGGGGATCAATATATTTCATAAGCAAATAATAGAATAATTTACTGTGAATATAAAATAAATAAACATGGTGATATAATAATATGCATAAGAAAATAAAGTTTTTCTAATATATATTTCTTAATGGAAGTGAGACAGATATATTCTACATTACCTTATTTTGTAATGAAAAATATTTTCAATAACGAAGGATTGATGGTCTTACTAGCCACAAGACATATATCCTTACCTTGAGTTAATGTAATTTTGTGCAGGTCCTTACCTGCAAACTTCATTTTAACTGTGACATAAAAAATAAAACATGCTTCATAAAATAGATGATAAAAGGAAGTATAAATAAGCAGTGTGGATATTACTAATCAAAAGATTAGTAACCTCATAAAAGCTGAAAGATCCACAAGCATCATATAAAATTCATTT